CTTAGAAGTCGTTTCTTTCTTTTTACCTTTACTTTTTGTTGCCTCTGGCTGACCAAAGTGTTCACAAACTAATGTACACCTCCTAATTATATTATTAGACCTTTCAACACGATAACAATGAATCTTGAATCCTTGCTTACTCCCATACTTTTTAACTTCCTTCATCGCATAATCCCAGTCAGGAAATATCTTATTCTCTCGCAATTCTTCACCTTGAGCACCTTCTATCAAATGATAACAGTTATATAGCATAAGATTCTCATGTTCAGCACTTTCACAGTTCATAATATCACCAACTTCACGATTATCTTGATCATTGCTATATAAAAAATCTCTTACAACACCAAGTTTGCTTTGGTCATTATATAGGATATCATTAACAGCAAAATCGCTCTGGATATTACTGTATGATGCGTCATTAGTTACAATAAATTCATATAGCGCATTACCATTAACGGCATATTCTTCATATCCTTCCATAGTTTAGGTATAAATAGGTAAGGTCAAGCGTAGGTAAATTAACAAGACAAAAGATAAAGTAATACGACGATTAAATGTAAGCAACGTAGTAAGAAAAAAAATTCCAAATATCGAACGATTGAATAAAAGATCAAGTGCAAATGAGAAAAATTTTGACAAATATGGATAAGACGAATAAGATAACACAGAGATCAAGTGTAAACGACGTAGTAAACGTTGTTAAATGATTGAGTAAAGGATCAAGTAGAAGGTCAAATGCAAGTAAGAAAAAAAAATTTTTTATATGGTTAATCGAATTAATTATGTCATTTAGGTTTAGTCTATTTAATGGATTACATAAGGGTAGCATCGTGGCACTATATTCATTAATATCGAGATTATTTTATTTAATAAACTGATTACATAAGGGTAGTGCCGCGGCACCATAGCACTACAATATTATTCTCTTAAAAAAATTAGTAAAAATCTTCACAGGCAAATTTGCCTGTGTTACAATTTAAGGGATAAGTTAAATATTGGAGGGTAAAATTATGATATAATTAATTTAAAAAAATATATATATTTAAGAGAATTGAAAATAGAATAAGAAAGCTTAGAAGATTTTCTCCTTTCACTTAATAATAATAAAAGAAAAGATACAAAAACTTATGTACATCCATTTATAAAAAATAAACAAATAAATAAATAACAAAGTAAAACTTCGAATAAATTAGAAAAAGGTGCTTTCCTTGCCAGGAGAAACGTGCAAACGCCATATTAGAAGAAGATCAGCAGCTTCGACGATTTGTTATTCAAGACTGGAAATAGATACAACAGTAGTATAAATATATTTTTCCAAGAACCACTTTTGCTATTGCTTCTGTCATACTTGACAAAACTTCTGTTAGACTATTACTTTTTTGCTTAGTAATACTGTAGACTTCCATTAGAAAAATTTTACTTAAGTTAGTCTTCTTTTTTTTAACTCTGTTTCAATTCTAGCTAGACTCAGTGAATAACCTTTATACCTAGCTACTCTAAAAAAGTTTTGTTATAAAAAAACTATATCTTCTAAGTAGTATTGTAGTTTGACTTTTTCTATAAAAAGTTGGTATGAGAGATTGTTGAAAAGAGTTTGTTAACAAGATTTTTAAATTTAAAAATTAGTTTGTTTTAAATTTAATTAGATATATAATTTTTATAACTATACCTAGTACAAACTATAATAGTACTTTCATAAATTGTTTTTTTTTTTGCTTTTTTATCTTTTTTTATTTGTTTTTTTCTATTTGTTTTCTTTTTGCTTATGCAGTTTTTTCTTTTCCTCTTTCGTGCTGTTCTCTTTATTTTTGTTAGTATTAGTTTTTTTTCATAAGTCAGTTAGAGACTATAAATCCTTCTACTTGAAAAGCTAGAAGAAGAAAGTTAAAAAAGGAGATGATCTTAATAGGCCATAAATACTATTCAGTAATGTATCAAAGAATTTATTTGCAAAGTTTTTTAATATGAAGATAAACTTTACTATAGCAAATCAAACATAGGTAATTTGGGCACTTTGGTGTTGCAAAAAGCCGAGTTAGCAAATACTTGTAATTTAAATAAACTTTAGATAACTTTAGTCAAACTGCATTTTTACTTGTGAGTTTAAATGTTTATACCTAATAAAGTATTAACAAGATTGCCAAATTGACAAAAAAAAAATAAAAAGAATTATACAATTTTTTTTTTTTTTTTTTTTTTAGAGATTATATATATGTACCCAAAGGTACACATACCCGTATCATGTGATCTATAGATTACCACTAAAATTCAAGATCAGGTGTAACGTTACACAATCAGAAAAATTCAAAACAACTGTTTGTTTTGACAAAAATCGCTCATTTCGCAAGAAATTGCATACTAAACCACCCTTTGTGTACTAATAAAAAGTTTTTCTTGAGCAATTTTACTATATAATAACCTAAAGCCTAAACCTAACATAGTTGTTACCCTAACCCTAATCTAAATGATATCAGTATTACTGGTTTTTATATAATATCATATAATGGGTACAAAAAAATTTAATGTACCCTACGGGTATAAAAATATTAACTCTTTATAATAAGTATTCAACAAACATCAAAATACTTAAAATATATATTTTTTATTTTTTAATATATAGAATGTAACAATAAAGAGCAATTTAATAATAATATTATTATTATAAACTCATCAAATTTTCATCAATCAAATAGTGATTAATCACATGGATCTTCTAATTTTTTCTTCATTTCTTACTTTCACAGTTAAATACAATCTTACAGGCCTTTTGAATGCTGCAACCATTGCTTTACATGCTCTTCTTGTAACAGCTTTTATAACCGATCCCTGCTTTCCTATAACAATTCTCTTTTATCAATTTTTTAAATAATTTTAATGATTTTAACGAATATAGAGTTAATTAAAATACAAAAAACAATAATAGCTAATGAAAGAAAATAATTCACCTCTTGCGATTCACGTTCTACATAAATAACTTGATCTATTCGTAATGAACCGTCTTCTAATACAGTCCATCCTACATTCTCCTACAAATTTACACTAATTTTTTAGCGATTATTAATTTATTGCTTATAAGAAAGAAGAATACCTATACCTGTTTAATGATATAAGGCAGGTAACTACGCAACGAAGTTAAAAACTCTGCTCGTATAAAATCCTCAACTTTCTTCAGATCTGCCATTTCAGATTTTGTTTCAGCTGGATAAACCCATTCTTGTGGATATGCATAAGAAAATAATTGTTCCTTTTTCAATATTAAGATTTGAATAAATTAGTATAGTTTCTGGGATTTAAATTATTAAAAGTAATTTATTCGGAATTTAATAAAAAAAAAAATTTACCTTTAACACATCTAATCCTTGTTTTTTTAATGCAGATATATTTACCGTATCCTTCAAATAATGACAACTTTTTTTAAAGTTGTGGTAAATATTTTGAAGTAGCTGATCATTATTATCTAACAAATCCGTCTAAACAATAAACAATGATATGTATGAATTCACAATTATATCTTATATAAAAATTATAAGTTTATAATTAAATAATCATACCTTATTTAATACCAAAGTAACAGGCAATTCATAATCATTTAATCTATCAAATAAACAGCTTTCATTATAGGTGCTATGATAAGCTGCTCTGTGTGCATCTATTACTACTAAGGCTTGAAAAATAAATGATGAAAGAGAAGAGCACATTATTAAACCGCTTCAAAATCCAAAAATTATTATTATTATTATTATTACCTTCCTACCATGATCAACTTCAATCAATGATTGCCATGATGCGTTAATTAAACCACGATTCAAACGTGTGCGTTTGTTACTTAAAACAGTTCCTGGCGTATCTAAAAACAACTTATTAATGGGTTGTTAAGGCTTATTTAATATATTAAATGAAGAAAATCAGGATGATGAATTATAATAATTACTATTTGCGTATTTCCTTCAGACAACACTGCTAAAATTCTTTCTCGAGTTGTATGAGCTTTATCAGAAACTACTGATATCTTTGATATAAAAAAAAGGAAGTCATAAAAGCACAATTCAGACAAAGTCATAATCCCGGACAAATTAGCTAGGATTAACTATAATTCTGGCTAATTTTTCAGGATTATTGGCTTGTCGGAATTGTATTTGTCAGATTTCGTAAAAATGTCAATTATAATCTTCAATATTTTAAGTTGGATAATAAATTTAGTATAATTACCACTTCTCCAAGTAAAGCATTTAATAAAGTTGACTTTCCAGCATTTGGCGTTCCTAAAACAGCAACTTTCAACAATCGTGGATCCTCTGGCTGTGTAAACCTATGTGGAATCTTTGGAAGCGTTGCCGTTATCCCTAGATAAAAAATAAAAAAAAGAAGATATTATCGTCAATAGAATTTGAATTCATTATTGCTAAAATCCTAAATTATTCAATTTACCTGCAGGTTGTATTAAAAGTGGTGGAGTCGGTCGACTTTTTCTCACTTTATCTACAATATCTACACTAGAAGCATCATTTAGTTTGTCAGTTGATGATACCTCATTATTGATTATTGGTTCATCAACCGATGGTAATAATCTAGCAAGCTTTCTTGCACGAGACATTATTGAATAATGTCTATTGCAATGTGTGAATGAGTTACCTAGGAAAGGTGTCAAAATTTTAAAAATTTAATCGAAAGTTGGTATACATATATATTAACAAGGAAAGTTAAATTCTTACTAAACTTTATATGGCATATTAATTGTAAAGAACGACCTAGTATTAAAGGATCACGAAATAAATTCATTATTTTTTTTAGATTGCAGGTAAAAAGTTATAACGAGTGCTTATTTAGGTAGATTATCTTTTATTTATTTATTATACTAAATGTCAATCGTAATCGTCCTTTCTGTTTTTTGATTGGATATGCTTTTGCCACATGCAGGGTAATAAGGCAATTTTTATTTTGATCGGACGTTTTTATTTTAAGGTTATAGATCATATGTCATAGGAAATTCGATATACGTTTTAATCACTAAACCAAATTTGGAAAATATGATCAAATCTTATCTATTAACATCTATTTACAATTTTTAAAATCGATTTTCAAGCGAATAAGTAAATCTGAGATTCTACGTATAGATTTTAAGAATCTTGCCAGCTTCAAAAATATAAGGTAGCTGTGCTACGCTGTCGCACTAAACCAGGAACGTAGTGATCTTTATAATTATTTAACGATGAAAGTATTATATCTCATCAATCATTCGAGTTTGACGTAAAGTCAATTGATCGAAAAAGTTAAGCATGGTTATTGTGGAACCAACAACCAGAACAAGTCCGGTCCGGATAATCAAAGGAGGTGAGTATTACTTTCCACAAACAATAATACAGTAATTACTAACTTAATAAAGGCGGCAATGAGAATGAAGACAAATCGATGGGAAATGCAAGTGGACCTTATGCCAGTTACGACAGACTACAATTTGCGACCCAATCCTCCCTCCCAAAGGTACCCAGTCATTCTCATAAATATCATACTGACCGTCGGGCTGCATTATGCAGCGGGTCAACGCTAAACTGCACAAACTCAACTGCTAATACCAATATACTGACGGCCGGCCTGCGTATGCAAGAGGGAAACCACCAACCAGCGCTAAGCCGCACGAACAACTACTTACGTATGATTACAATATTATCGTTATTATTTTTTCCCGAAAGCATATTCCATTTCAGTTTAATAGCACATAAACCACAGATAACTGAACCTGTTATTTTCATCACATGTTCATATTAACGGCCGGCCTGCATTATACAGGCGGGATAGCACTAAGCCGTACTATTTCAACACAACTGCTTAGGGTGATTTCCTGGCGCTATTTCCGGGAGCATACCCGTTTCAGGTTCAATAATGCATAATTCACAACTAACACTAATATAATTTGCATCAAATAAAATTCAATTCTGGTATATCAGACCGGATTATTCCAAGAAACACACGTACGTATATGCAATGCTTTTCGAGCATACCAAAACTTGACTGCATTTAGATATGAGTGCGCGAGTTGGTATGACAGAGCTACACATATTAAACAAGATACTGTAGATAGGAACGCAAGTTTGTTATATTGAAAATAATTTGTACAACACATAAGCAATCGAGCACAGGATCGAAAAACGATTTGGCCATCCTCTTGTAAATAAATAATAATAATAATAAAAAAAACCATCATATTTAAGAAAATGTAGATGCAATTTGCATAGTAAATACAAAAATTCCTAATTATGTTACTGAAATATACATTAATATATATTGAATATACTTGTTTGATTATGCAAATTTAGCTTGTATTTAGTATTAGGCAAGCAAGGAATAGCAAATTTATTTTTTCTTCGCCTTATTTTTATTATTATTTTTTTTTGCTTTAAATTTTTTTTTAAATTAATTTATTATTTTATTTTTAATTCATTGCTTTTTAGTGTAAGTTTTTTTTTTTTTATTAATCAGTAAATGGATACCGATTTTAAAACAACGTATGCCATCTCTTAATTTGCGTGATACGTGTCAATTAATAATTGACATAAATTGAAAATGACGCGAAAACAGTAACGCCATAATATATGATATTGATAATGTTACTATGATAAAGTGTCCATCTTTAAATAAATTCTTTTTCTATAAACACATTATATTAGTTTAATTGGAGCAATATAAGTAAATATATACATGAAGGTTGATAAATCTCTGATTCTCAACGGCACTTCGACTGAGCTTCATTCATTTTCACTTTACGCTACAAGTCACTTTTCATGCCACGTTTATATGAATATATTTTAATTTAGAAACTGGAAAGAAAGTTAATCTATGAATCTGGGATATTTGGGTCATATCCAAGATAAAGTAAGGTAGAGTTCATTAAAGGATAAGTTCTATCTGGTTTTTCCTATCAGGAGTGACATCTGATAGGTCATTAGCACCCTTAATTTGCACAACAATTTGTGGATAAATTGAATAACTAACTATTTTTCCGGCTGCGATAAGAGCAGGTATTTCTCTATCAATCTTATCTGTTGTGTTGCCAATTTTAAGTTTTTTTAATAACTTCTTAGCCCCTTTAGTAGAAGCAGCATAAGCATGTGTACATTTTGGATATCTTGATTTATGTAATTTATGAATAGTTAAATTAGTTTTAATAAGTTTGTTGCCTTTCTCATGACAACTTCCAAGATATAGAATATCCCAATTATTAGGTAAATTGCGATGAACTTCAGACATAATATCAGTAATGTTAAGTTCCATATCCACATCATCTTCAAGAATTATTGCATTTTTATAACCATTTTTAACATTTGATTCAATGACTGAATAATAACTTAGATAACAAGCCTTAGGACCAGCTTCTAAGTTACTCATATTAAGTTTGCTAAGTGCTCTATCATCAAATTTATTAACTGCTTTGATAATATCAAGATCTAAACCAAGGTAATCTCCTAAGGCTTTCATTTTTTTACGTCTATCATCTCGATATTCAAGATTAATAACATAAGCATGTTCAAAACCAAGCACGGTAGTGCTGTTCGTAAACCTTAGTTCGTTGATAATTTGGTTTGTAGTAGAAAAATATGAAAAATCTAGGAAAAGAGTTGCACTATTATAAGTTACTAGCATGAGGAATAAGAAGCCGACAAACGTTAAAAATGGAGAATACATCGTTTAAAAATTAAAAATTCTTTAGATTAAATCTCGATAAAATAATCAATTAATAAACGATTTTTTAAAAAGTTGATTTGGTAATCTATAAATGATTTACTCATCTTTTTATACTGTATGGATATCACTACAAACTTTATTAAATTTAAAAAAATTTATTTTGAAAAAATAAATCAGATGCTATATATGAAAAAAAAAAAGACAATTATAGTTCGCAGTATAAATTCGAGTTGCATAAGTTATAATAATTAAAATAAAATAAAAAAAGGCAATATATAGCATCATAATTAAATTTAGAAATATGATTTAGATAATTTAGTAACTGTAATTCTAATGCACTCCAAAATATAGTGCATATCGATATTGACACTGTAAATAACGTAATTTGTGACGTGTATTAAAATAGTAAAAGTCGAATTATACCCCAAATAGGCAATTTAAAATCTAAAATTTCTTATAACTACTATATTTAGTTAAATAATCAGAACACGTACATAAAAACACTAGTTTACATATGATTTTTTACTTAGGGATGGAATCCTGTTCGGTCCGATCCTAGGATGATCTTAGACCCGATCCTTAAATCACATGAAAACGTAATGAAAATACAGTACATTTTATAGGACTTAGATCCTGTATCAGATCCCGAATTGAATCTATCGAATAAGTCCATCCAATCAAATTAAATTTTGTACTGTTATAACAATTCATTTCAGGATATAAGTCCGTATTGTTTTTTCATGTGATTCAAGGATCGAATTCTTCGGATTCATTTGGGACCCGATCCTAAAGGACCGATAAACATCCCTATTTTTACTGATATCGATATTGTTATACATAGAGATCTTAAAGACGATACAGATGGTTTTACTTCAAGGTCTCTATTTCTATACAATGCAGTACTGGTTTAACGTAAATTATGGATGTCCTCAAAAAAGAAGATAAATGTTTTTAAAATTCAAACTATTTTAATTATAAGTTATTAAGTTGCATAGTACATTAGGTCAAATTGTCAAATAAAACAACTCTACGTAGTATAGGGCAAGAGTAAATAGTTCTTATTTTAAATTTAATTTTAAATACTGTCAAATAGAAAATTACTACGTATTATCACTGGCGATCATCACAAGTATAGTTTTTTGCTAAATTTTTAAGTTTTTTTATTTTATTTTATATACCGTATATTACCGATTAGAAGCAACCCCGAATAAAAGCAACCCCTCAGATTTTGGAGCCAAAAATTTGACTACAGTTATTATGTTTTACTAATAA